CAATTATTTCTGAATTTTTTGCATCATCATAAATACATTTTCATTAACATCATAAGCTATTTTTTTTGTTTCTTAAGACAGAATTTTGCTCTTCTGCCTGGGCTAGAGTGCCATGGCCTCAGCCTAGCTCACAGCAACCTCAAACTCCTGGGCTTAAGCAATTCTCCTGTCTCACCCTCCTGAGTAGCTGGGACTACAGGTGCACACTACCATACTGGGCTTATTTTTCTGTTTGTAGTAGAGAAGGAATCTCACTTTGCTCCGGCAGTCCTCCTGCCTCAAGCTCTCAGAGTGCTAGGATTATACGCATGAGCCACTGTGCCCAGCTGAGCATCATAAACTACTTATAAGATTTCTTTTTAATAATTTAGTCTAACTTACATCTTTTGCAGAAATTTAGATACTTTGTTGCATAAAGTTATTTATGTTTTGCTTGAAGCAGTAATTTTACGTTTCTTTCATTTCCACTATTTTTTTATTTTTATGGTGCCAAATGCAATCCTGTTTCCATGGAATTGTCATTTATATGTTATTTACATTTTCATCTGGATGGAACATAAATTGACTGATTGTGAACAATACCAATATACACTCATTTCTCAAAAACATTTTAAACAGTTGGGGGGAACTTTTCTCTTTTTTTAAAATTGTATATATTTACAGGATGCATGGTGATGTTTCAGTGCAAATAATGTATAGTGATCAGGGTCATTTATATATCCATCTACCCCTGAGCTCAAGGAAACCAGACCTGCTACTGCATCTGTTTTTTCTTTTTTACATGCGTGATTACATGCAGAAAGAAATCATCTCAAGAACACATTAAAAAATTAATTTTAGGTTTATAATCTAAAATATTCTATTTTCCCCATTTGAATAAGTTAATATATATACCAAAGTATTTAAATTGTATTCTGGTTATAAAAAAAGTTAAGAGAGGGACATAGAAAAAGTTAAATTAAAAAAGACAAGAATTAAAAGGACATAACCCTATTTCATTGCATCAGACAGATATATTAGGTATAATTCTGCCTTGACTAAGGTGACAAAAATGCAATCTCAGTGTTATCAAAGATCTGAGAAGAAAGTATCTATAATCCATTTGCTAATATTATTTTTCAATAATATTAAAAAATTAAAAAAGGAAAAAAACAGGAAAAAAATTTTAAGTTTAAGAATTGAATCATTACCAAAATGATTCTTATAAGTGAATATTTTCATTTTGTTTTACAATTGGTAGCATGTCTAAACTAATTTCTTTAATGTCAACCAAGAAAACCTAAAACTTGATATTTTAGTGAATGAGGAATGTTATTGCCTTTATTTACAGAGAAATAAGTGGTATAGTAGATTAGAAAAAAATGTCCATCTCTCTAATTTTTTTTAAATAACAGCCTTAATAATTTATTATTTATATAATTCACATACCATAAAATTCACCTTCTAATGCATACAGTTTGGTAATTCCTAACATATTTGTGGAGTTGTACAACCATTACCACTATTGAATTTTTCTCTCCAGAAAGAGACCCTCTGCTATTACTGTTCACTTCCCATTCTTCTTTCTGGCCCTTGGCAACCACTAATTTATCTTTTCTTTACTAGATTTAAACTATTTGGGACATTTCATATAAATAGAATCATGTACTATATAGCCTTTTGTGCCTGGCTGCTTTAATTTAGCATAATGTTTTCAAAGTTTATCCATGTTGTAGCATGTATCATACTTTATTCCTTTTTCTTGAATAATATTCCATCATATAGATAATACACATTTTGTTTATTATTCATCAGTTGTTGGATATTGGGTTATTTCTACTTTTTTTGGTTATTATGAATAATGCTGTCATTACTCATGAATAGATTTTTGTGTGGACATATTTTCCATTCTCTTGGGTATTCATATATGTAGAAGTTGCATTGCTGGGTTATATGGTAACTCTGTTTAACATTCTGAGGAACAATCAATAGGTGTACCATTTTATAATCTGACAGGCAATTGTATAGAAATCCAGTTTCTCTACATCCTTACGAACACTTGATATTATCTGTCGTTTTATTTTTAGCTATTTTAACATGTATGAAGGGGTGGTTTTATATGTACAGTATAATATGAGCCACTTTTAAAACTCTGTTGTATTTTTCAACTACAGACTTCATTTGGCTATTCTGTGAACTAAATAAAACTTAAGTGAAGAATAAGGTATTCACATATATAATTTTTAAGGTACTTCCTTAGCATTTATTCATATATTTATTATATGTTTTTGTATTTATTTTTTAATGCTTTTGACCATGTTTGGTTTACTGCTCCTTAAGCTTCAATGTACAGTAAGATCTTAGACAGCTTGTTAAAATGCAAATTTCTACTAGGTTTAATGGCATGTGCCTATAATACCAGCTATGCTGGAGGCTGAAAAGGGAGAATTGTTTGAGCCCAGGAGTTTGAGGCCAGCGTGGGCAACAGAACAAGATCCTACTATGTTTCAAAAATGCAAATTTGTAAGACCTACCTCAGAAATGCTAATTCACTAGATCTATGATAGGGTCTGAGAATTTTATTTTTATTAATAGCACTAAGTTATTCTAATGTAGCTGGTACAGAGATCACAGTTTGATGAGAGAGTTACATGACCTACTGAGCATTCACACCAACTATATTCTTTTAGCACCTGCCAGCATCTGTAATGATGTTATTATTTTATAATTGAATTGTTGGATTCTTTAGGAAATTTAGTGATTGCTTCACTTGTTTTATAGTGGACAATAGTCCTGATGAGGCTCTGGTACATCTTCTTGCTGGTTTGGAAAGTGATGGATATCAGGGGGAAAGAACTAGGATGCCATCACCATGTCGCCCTTTTGGAAATAATAAATATCCCCAAAATAGTGATGATGAAGAAAATGAACCACAGATTGAAAAAGAGGAAATGGAGCTTAGTTTGGTTATGTCCCAGAGATGGGACAGCAATATTGAAGAACATTGTGCCAAAAAGAGGTAATTTTTTAGTTATTTCAGTTATTTTAATAACTAATTTTGTCATTATTCTTTAATCAGAAATTAATTTCCTTATAGACTTTTTCTTAATCTCTTCAAGTAGTGGTCTGTCTTTCATATGGCATATATTTTGTATTCCAGGCAAAATAAAGTTTTGCTACATTTAAAAAGTTTGACTTAACTTCTGGAAAGCATCTATTTATATATGCGGTGTTGACATGTGAGTGAAAAATGGGACAAAATCAAAGTGCCTCTTTATCTCAGACTTGACAAAAAGCATACTTCTTCTGATAGTTAACTGTTGTGGATTAGAACACAATATGTAGAGTCAGCTGAAGAGAAGGAATTGCTTCCAGGTCTAGTTACACCGAAGGAACTAAATATTAAAAACTAATGAATAAATTAAATAAACACATCTCAAAACAACTAGTATTCTGGTTTGTTTTTTAAAATAAATGATTAAGATGGCACCATGGTTTTCTAAATCAGTCTCTGTGAACTTGATTCATCTGATTCTTCCCCTGAGCTGTATGCTCTGTATATGGAAAAACTTAAGTTCTCTGAACTTGAAAGACTGAGTATATTCTTCTTTAAACTTCTGTAGGCTATGCTAAAACTTTTTAAAGTCTATATTTGAAATTTTCAACTCTAGAGCCATTATTGAAAGGTGGAAGGTTAATCTGTAAATTCAATGTTCATTTGTATATAACTTAAGTTTTTGTTTTTCTACTTTATAAATCAGGATATGGAAATCTTTAGATGTGATGTTATAATCTGCTCTCTGACATAGTCTCTACTATAAGAGTAGGTATGATTTAACACATGATTAAATTCATATTTATGTGTTCATTGACCAAGCCAATTCTGTGAAAGCTATGCCCAGTTTAACCTTGATAAAAACAAACCTAAACAGTTCATAAACTTATATGAGAAAGAGATTAAATAGGAGAAGTGTCTTTGTCTAGAAAAGGAATTATTAATTCTACTCTGTATAGTAGATGTTATATTCTGCCCTACTATATTATAATATAAGTATATTAAGAAAGGAAAGGAACGAGAAAGAAGAGGAAGAAAACTAGGAAGGAAGATCAGTGGACACTGACAATTTTGAAGAACATTTGAATAGAGAATAGTCTATTTAGAGAGGAGTTATGAGACAGATGATGAATCCTTCATGTATTTTAAAGGTTATGTGGAAAGTGAAATAGACCTGTTCTTTATGGGTACAGAGAACAAAGGCAAGAACAATGTATAGAAGTTGAAAAGAAACAAGTTGAGGCATGGTGCAGTGGCTCACACCTGTAATCCTAGCACTCTGGGAGGCCAAGGCCGGTGGATTGCCTGAGCTCACAGGTTCAAGACCAGCCTGAGCCAGAGCAAGACCTTGTCTCTAAAAACCAGGCATTGTGTTGGGTGCCTGAGGTCCCAACTACTCAGGAGGCTAAGGCAAGAGAAGCGCTTGAGCCCAAGACTTTTGAGGTTGCTGTAAGCTATGATGCCATCACACTCTACTGAGGGTGACAAAGTAAGACTGTGTCTCAAAAAAATTAATAAATAAAAGAGACAAGAAACAATTTGTGTAAAATAGGAAGATAGTTACTAACAGAGTCAGTAACAAGATTACCCAGGAAGACAGCAAGCCCTTCATACAGAGGCTGTAAAAGCAGAGATTGTCTCAGGTTTTTTTGCATTGGGTAGAAAGTGTAGTAGATGACCTCTGATAGCTTTCATGTTTTAAGGGAGTGATTTTATGACAAATTGTGATTTGGAAAAGCTCAATAAAGAAATGGTTCCATGTATAATACAGGAATATTACTTCTAAGTTTTTGAGACCAGTGAAAGAAAAAATTGGGTAGGGATAGAAGGAAAGTTTACCCATCTAGATAAAAGGGAAAGTATCAAGTTAGCAGTAGTATGAGGTGAAACTTAAAAGAAACTACCTGGACTTCACTGTCTATCTGAATTCCTCAGTAACCATACTTCGTAGTCACTGTCAGATTGACTCAATACCTTTACTACTCCCTTCCCCCTCTCTGATCACTAAGTTTTTCTCTTCACCCCTCACTTGAGTGCATCCTCACTTATCATTTTGTTCTTGTTTTTTCCAATTCAGAGTGTAGTGATTCTATATTAATGGAAACTTATTAAAATATGTTAGATCTGTTTAGAGATTGCTGAGTTCTCAAGGTATATGTATATATCTAAGGATAGTATGAAAAGGAGAATATAAAGGAGAACATGATTAGATGTGGTAATCCAGAACATTATGAACCTACAAATGCAGGAATTATGGGGTTTTCTACCTCACATAAAAGGGATTATAAAGTCTTTTTACAATAACTTTTTCAGGTACGATAGTAAGGCACATTAATAAAACAAAGTAAATCTGTTTGCTCTTTAAAAATCACAATTTTCAGATCTTTTTTATTGTTTTACTATTAAAGAATCAAAATTAGACAAATTACTGCATCTGAGATGTTCTTTCTTAATGCTTATACTCACCAATGAGTTTTAATATTCTCTAGATCACTGTGCAGAAATACCCACAGAAGTTCAACTGAAGATGATGACTCATCTTCAGAAGAAGAAATGGAATGGAGTGATAATAGTTTGCTTCTAGCCAATCTTTCTATACCTCAGTTAGATGGAACTGCAGATGAAAATAGTGGTAAGTAAATGAGTGTACTGTGAGCATTTGGTCACTTAGGGATTAAAAATATATTTGATTTTGAAACTATAATCACACTGTATAGTTGGCTAAGTGTGGCTTTAGTGATACTTCTCTTGAAAGAATGCAATTAAATATTTTTTCTTATTTGTAGGAGGATGTAACATTTGTGATCACTGATTTCAAGCATCATAAACTTTTATCAATTTATTGTGTTAACATTTCAGTGGCACATGAAAGTGTTGTAAGAAATATGCTTATCTTAGAGCCCGAGGTGGGTGGATTGCCCAAGCTTGGGAGTTCGAACCAGCCTGAGCAAGAGTGAGACTCTGTCTCTAAAAGAAAATAGTCAGGCATTGTGGCAGGCGCCTATAGTCCCAGCTACCTGGGAGTTGGAGGCAAGAGAATCACTTGAGCCCAAGAGTTTGTGATTGCTGTGAGCTATGACTCCATGGCACTCAACCCCAGGGCAATTGAGTGAGACTCCATCTCAAAAAAAAAGAAAAAAAGCAGAAATATGCTCATCTTATTTGAAGTGATAATATAAAGAACAATATATATGCATATATATACACTTTTTTGTTTTTTTTAAGAGACAGAGTCTTACTTTATCACCCTTGGTAGAGTGCTATGGCATCACAGCTTATAGCAACCTCCAGCTCCTGGGCTTAAGCAATTCTCTGGCCTTAGCCTCCCAAGTAGCTGGGACTACAGGCTCCTGCCAGAACGCCTGGCAATTTTTTTTGTTGCAGTTTGGCCAGGGCCAGGTTTGAACCTGCCACCCTGGATATATGGGGCCAGTGCCCTACCCACTGAGTCATAGACACCACCCAAGAACCGTATTATTTTATGAAAAAATTTTGTTAGTAGTATTTTCCCCTTATTCCCTTGAACACACTGAATATTAATTCAGTCTATTGCTAATCAAAGGAATATATATTTAAAATAATTAGCTTGGTGCCTCTAACACAGTGGTTATAGTGCCAGCCACATGTACCAAAGGTAGCAGGTTCATACATGGCCTGGGCCAGCTAAACAACAATGACAACTGTAACAAAAAATAGCTGGGCATCATGGCAGGTACCTATAGTCCCAGCTACTTGGGAGGCTGAGGCAAGAGAATTGCTTAAGCCTAAGAGTTGGAGGTTGCTGTGAGCTGTGATGCCATGGTACTCTACCAAGGATGACATAGTGAGACTCTGTCTCAGAAAATAATAATAATAATAATAAGTAACTCTTGATTATTTAGGTTGAGTTATCTTAATGATAGGAGTGACCTTTTTGTTAAGATGATCATTTTAAACATACAGACTTCATATAATATCTTTCACAGTGACAGTATCTTAATATGGGAATATATTTTAAAAATTAAAAGAGTAGAGTGAAATAAATTTACTTTTCCTTCCTTTCAGACAATCCATTGAACAACGAAAATTCTAGAACCCACTCTTCTGTGATTGCAACTAGCAAGCTGTCAGTAAAACCCTCCATTTTTCACAAAGATGCTGCTACATTAGAACCCCCGTCTTCTGCTAAGATTACCTTTCAATGTAAACACACAAGTGCCCTTCCTTCCCATATTTTGAACAAGGAAGATTTAATTGAAGACCTTTCACAGCCAAACAACATAGAAAAAGGTCTAGATAATTCAGTCACTTCTTTTACAAAGGAAAGCACTTATTCTGTGAAATACCCTGGATCTATTAACAGTACTGTTCATTCAGAAAATTCTCATAAAGAGAGTAATAAGAAAGATATCCTCCCAGTATCTTCCTGTGAAAGTAGTATTTTTGATTATGAAGAAGATATTCCATCTGTTACAAGACAAGTACCAAGTAGAAAGTATACAAACATTAGAAAGATCGAAAAGGATGCCCCTTTTATACATATGCACCGTCACCCTAATGAGAATACATTGGGTAAAAACTCTTTCAACTTTTCTGACTTAAGTCATTCAAAAAATAAGCTATCTGCTGAAGGAAATGAAAAAGGAAACAGCATAGCTTTGAACAGTTTATTCCCTTCACCATTTACTGAAAATTGTGAATTGCTGTCATGCTCAGGGGATAATAGAACTATGGTACATTCTCTTAGTAGCATTGCTGATGAAGGTGGTCTAAATAAACTTAAAATTAGATATGAAGAATTTCAAGAACATAAAACAGAAAAACCAAGCCTCAGCCAACAAGCAGCACATTATATGTTTTTTCCCAGTGTTGTTCTTTCTAATTGTCTCACTAGACCACAGAAACTATCTCCTGTCACATATAAACTACAACCTGGCAATAAACCATCTCGGTTAAAACTAAGTAAAAAGAAACTTGTAGGTCATCAAGAGACTTCTACCAAAAGTAGTGAGACTAGATCCACAAAAGAGAATTGTATACAAAATAATCCTTGTAATAGTAATCCTGAGAAGGATCATGTATTGGCCAGCGATTTAATTAAAACCACTCGTGGAACTTTTGAAAATAAAACACTTACAGATGGTTTGACAGACTGTCACTTTGGAGATGGAAACTTAGAAACTGAGCAGTCTTTTGGACTTTATGGAAATAAATATACACTTAGAGCCAAACGCAAGGTAAATTATGAGACTGAAGACGGTGAGTCAAGTTTTGTAACACACAACTCAAAAATTAGCCTACCTCATCCTATAGAAATTGGTGACAGTCTAGATGGAACTCTAAAGTCTCGAAAACGAAGGAAAATGTCTAAAAAGCTGCCCCCTGTCATCATAAAGTATATTATTATTAACAGATTTAGAGGGAGAAAAAATATGCTTGTGAAGCTAGGGAAAATAGACTCTAAAGAAAAACAAGTAATATTAACAGAGGAAAAAATAGAACTATATAAAAAGCTTGCACCTTTGAAGGATTTTTGGCCAAAAGTTCCTGACTCCCCTGCAACCAAATATCCTATTTATCCACTAACACCAAAGAAAAGTCACAGAAGAAAGTCAAAACATAAGTCTGCTAAGAAAAAAACTGGTAAACAACAAAGGACAAATAGTGAAAATATTAAAAGAACTTTGTCTTTCAGAAAAAAACGGTCACATGCTATTCTTTCTCCCCCGTCACCATCTTACAATGCTGAAACCGAAGACTGTGACTTAAATTATAGTGATGTGATGTCTAAACTAGGTTTTCTTTCTGAGAGAAGCACAAGTCCCGTAAATTCCTCTCCACCTCGCTGCTGGTCTCCAACAGATCCAAGAGCTGAAGAAATTATGGCTGCTGCAGAAAAAGAAGCACTGCTTTTTAAAGGTCCTAATATGTATAATACCAAGACTGTTAATCCTCGTATGGGAAAAAATAGTCGAGCAAGAGCACAGGTTAAGAAATCAAAAGCAAAGCTTGTTAATCCCTCTGTAGTTACTAAGAAAAGGAACAAACGAAATCAAACAAATAAAATAGTAGATGATAGAAAAAAGAAACCAAGAGCAAAACAAAAACAAAAAAATGAGAAAGGCACATCAAGAAAGCACATAACACTTAAAGATGAAAAAATAAAATCTCAGTCTGGTGCTGAAGTTAAGTTTGTGCTAAAACACCAGAATGTGTCCGAGTTTACAAATAGTTCTGGAGGCTCTCTACTTTGTAAACAGAAAGATATACCACTAACAGGCTCAACTGTTGATCATCCCCTTTCTAATCCCCTACCCACTGGAATTAATGCACAACAGAAGTTATCTGGCTGCTTTTCTTCATTCTTAGAAAACAAAAAATCTATAGATTTGCAGACATTCTCTAGTTCACGAGATGATTTGCATCCTTCAATTGTCTGTAGTTCCATAGCACCTGGAATCTCAAAAATTAATGTTCAGAGTTCTCATAATCAAAGTGCTATGTTTACTCTAAAGGAATCAACTTTGATTCAAAAAAATATATTTGACCTTTCCAACCATTTGTCTCAGGTAGCACAGAATGCTCAGATATCTTCGGGTATAATGTCTCCAAAGACAGAAGATAATGCAAACATACAAAAAAACCATTTGTCAACTATTGGAAAGTTAAATGAGTATCGTAATTCCCTAGAATCAAAGCCGGACCAGGCATATGCCCCTAATTTTTTGCATTGCAAAGATAGTCAGCAGCAGATTGTGTGCATGGCAGAACAGTCAAAGCACAGTGAAACTTGTTCTCCAGGAAATGCAGCTTCAGACGAAAGCCAAATGCCTAATAATTGCTTTATAACTTCCTTGAGAAGTCCAATCAAACAAATAGCATGGGATCAAAAACAAAGGGGTTTTATTTTAGATATGTCAAATTTTAAACCTGAAAGGGTAAAGCAGAGGTCATTGTCAGAAGCAGTTTCACAAACCAAAGGACTTTCTCAGTGTAAAAATCGAAACATTTCAACACATTCAGCATTTGGTGAAGGACAGTCTGGACTGGCAGTTCTAAAAGAATTGTTACAAAAAAGACAGCAGAAAGCACAAAATGCAAGTACTATGCAAGACCCATTACCTAATAAACTTCAACCAAACAAAAATATTTCTGGTTCCCTTGAACATAACAAAGCAAATAAACGGACACGGTCAGTAACATCTCCAAGAAAACCTCGAACTCCCAGAAGTACAAAACCTAAAGAAAAAATTCCCAAACTTCTAAAAGTAGACTCTCTAAATTTACAAAACTCTAGTCAATTGGATAACTCCTTATCAGATGATAGTCCCATCTTTTTTTCAGATCCCGGTTTTGAAAGTTGTTATTCACTTGAAGATAGCTTATCTCCTGAACATAATTATAATTTTGATATTAACACAATAGGTCAGACTGGATTTTGTAGCTTTTATTCTGGAAGTCAGTTTGTCCCAGCTGATCAGAATTTGCCTCAAAAGTTCCTAAGTGATGCTGTTCAGGATCTTTTTCCAGGACAAGCTATAGAAAAAAATGAGTTTTTAAGTCATGACAACCAGAACTGTGATGAAGACAAGCCTCATGCCTCAGACTCATCCTCATGGATTAGATCTGGTACTTTAAGTCCTGAACTTTTTGACAAATCATCCATAGATAGCAATGAGAATCATCGGCACAACCCGTGGAAAAACAGCTTTCATCCTCTTACAACTCGGTCTAATTCAATAATGGATTCTTTCTGTGTTCAGAAGGCAGAGGGCTGTCTAAATGAAAAATCCAGATTGAATAAGAGTTCAGTAAGCAAAGAAGTGTTTCTTAGCCTTCCACAGCCAAGCAATTCAGACTGGATTAAAGGTCACACTAGAAAAGAAATGGGGCATTCTCTTGACTCAGTTAATACCTCTTTTACTACAATACTCTCCTCCCCAGATGGTGAACTTGTGGATGTAGCCTCTGAAGATTTAGAACTGTATGTTTCAAGAAACAATGATCTGTTGACGCCAACTCCTGATAGTTCACCAAGGTCTACCAGCTCTCCCTCACAATCTAAAAATGGCAGTTTCACACCTCGAACTGCTCACATTCTAAAACCACTTATGTCCCCACCAAGTAGGGAAGAAATTATGGCAACTTTGTTAGATCATGACCTTTCAGAAACTGTTTACCAAGAACCATTTTGCAGTAATCCTTCTGATGTACCAGAAAAGCCCAGGTAATTATAATTTTTTTCCTTGAGTTACTCTAAATTGTAGTGTGTATAACATTTAATACCTGACTGACTAACATTGTAAGTATGTCATTCTGAAAACTATAACTACAGGTTTGATTAAGAGAATTCACGTACTAACTAGATGGTTACTCTTAGACAAATTTATTTAATGAATATTGAACTTTGATCTATTATTATTTAATATCATGTCTCCATTAAGGATTAGAGGTGCTCACTCTAATGATGCAAGATTAAGAAGGATTTAATACCTTAAAAGTTTTACAATGAGCATTTTAAAATAGTATTTTATTTTATTTTATTATTTTTTTTTGAGACAGAGCCTCAAGCTGTCCCCCTGGACAGAGTGCCGTGGCATTACAGCTCACAGCAACCTCCAACTCCTGGGCTCAAGCGAGTCTCCTGCCTCCGCCTCCCAAGTAGCTGGGACCACAGGCGCCCGCCACAACGCCCGGCTATTTTTTGGTTGCAGCCATCATTGTTGTTTGGCGGGTCCGGGCTGGGGATTTGAACCCACCACCTTAGGTGTACGTGGCTGGCGCCTTAGCCGGTTGAGCTATAGGCGCCGAGCCAGTATTTTATTTTAAATGTTAAACTTTTATACTTTTATGACATCTCTAAATGAAGATTTTTTTAAGTTGTTTCTACTATAAACCTTTTTCTTTTCATGTAGTTTGAACTTCTTGAATCATAGTTAATATTGTTAGTTTATAAAGTTATTAGGCATGCAAGTGGACATTGGTTTCTTTTATCTCCTTTTAAGAATCTTTTCAGACAATTGATAGAAAAATAGGCATGCGTGCTAGCACATACACACGGCATATAGAGAAATGGAAATCAGAACTGCTTTATCTATCAATAGTTAAGTAGTTATGCTGTATTACCTTCACTAAATTAAGATATTTCTGATAAGAGCTAAATTGGAAAGTATAGCTTAATATGGGAGATTTAAATGATGCTTCTTGCTCCTGCCCATGTGTCTGTGATCTCATATACTTAACCAGTTGTAGAGAAAGAGAGTTCATTTCAACCAGCCAGTCAGAAGCAGAGGTAGATGACTATTAAGGCAATTCCTGCTTTAGTTTCAATTATGGAAAGAAGTTATGAGTAGCCAACTATGGCAGAAGCAATACTGCATATATGCACTGATCTGGAGCAACACTGAATGTAGGCGCTAATGCTAGTGAAAGCCAAAGGTATAATGTGGATGTCATTATGTCATTTATACATTCGTTCAAAGCCATAGAACATACTGAGTGAAAAGTGAACCCAAATGTAAATGTGGACATCAAGTGATTATGATTTGTCAATGAATGTTCAACATTTGGAACACATGTACCACTCTGGTGGGGGATCTGTGATCATGGCTATACATGTATAGAGGTGCATATATGAGAAATCTGTGTACTTTCCTTTCCTTTTTTCTATGAACCTAAAAGTGCTTTTAAAAAACTACATCTTTTTTAAAAAATTAAAACCAAAAAATCCCACTCCAGCAGCCAGAAAAATCTCCATTTAAGAAAGAGATGAGAATATGAGATTGAGATAATGGATATGTTAATTTGTTCCCTTATAATGACCATTTTACTGTATACTAGGGGTGCCAAAAGTATACATGTTATAAGAGATGTTACCTACTGGTATGTATTGTATATTTGAGTGTATACTTTGAGTACCTCTTGTAATTGCAGAAGTCACATGTAACTTGATATTCATCTTTTGTTATCGTATGTGTTATAATTTTAATACAGTTTTTTTCTTAAGATGTATGTACATTTTTTGGCACCCTCTGTGTATATATAAAACTATATATACACATATATATTTCATAATATCATGTTATATACCTCAAATATACATAACAAAATTTATTTTTTACTAAGGGTTAAGAAAAAGTGACCAGTAATGTAGAGTAGAAATTCCCTGTGTATGGGACTTGAAGTGGAGGGCAGAAACATTTCCCCCTACTTTCCAGCATACTGTTTTGTTTTGTTTTGTTTTGTTTTGCTTAGTACCCACATAGGATTCTTTTCTCTGTTTCACACTAGAATATAGAGTCTGTTCCTAAAACGTTAGTTTCCATTATTTCAGGTGATTTTACTTTGATTGAACTATTTTTTTCTACCTCATGTTTTAAATTTTAGTTAGCTAACTTATGTGCTAGTCATTAACGTTATGTTGTTGTTATTGTACAACTTGACATTTCTCTTGTAGCTGAAATGAAAGAATAATTATTTTGAAATACTATTTTAAAAATATGAAACTATGGCTCAGTGCCTGTAGCTGAGCAGCTAGGACACCAGCCATATACATTGGAGCTTGCCTGCCAAACAACAATGACAATTAATTACAACAACTACAAAAAAATAGCCGGGCATTGTTGTGGGTGCCTGTAGTCCCAGCTACTTGGGAGGCGGGGGCAAGAGACTCTCTTAAGCCCAAGAGTTTGAGGTTGCTGTGAGCTGTGACGTCACAGCACTCTACCAAGGGCAACATAGTGAAACTCTGTCTCAAAAATATATATATATATGAAACTAATATATAGAATTAAGAAGTATAAAAGAATAAATAAAAATCACATCATTTCTCTGCCTACTAGAGTGATAGCCCCTATAATTTGATGTGTTTTCTGAGTTTTTAAAAAATGTATGGTTTTAACTTTGTTTTGAGAAGTGTGACCTTACTGAAGTCACAGTATTGTATCCAGCTCAATAACTTAACATCGGTATGTATTATAAACATTTTTCAAATTAATGAGTTTCTTGAAGCATTATTTTAATGGCTGCATAATATTCTATCATGTGTATATTATTGGGGGAAAAGTTTCATGTTTTATCACTAGATAAATTATGTAATAGTATCTTCTTCATAAAGCATGTTTGGAGTTTTTCTTTATAGCTCTAGAAGTAGGATTTCTAAAAAAATTAAGTCTTTTGATATATATTCTGAATTTGTCCCAGTGAGTTGTAGCAGTTACAATGCTGCTGATAATGTACAAGAAAACAATTTGCCTCACTTTATCAATTTATTATTATTATTTGTGACTTCTGTATCATTAGAGTTGGGAATGATCACATGGTATATGTATTCCTTTCTTTCAGCAGCAGTAATTCTACTTTTAATTTTCCACATAGCCAGGGAGTGGGTGCAGGGAAGGTGCTGGAGGGTAGTTATGGAGTTAATAGTAGGGGCCAAAGTCTTCCCTTAT